ATTTAAATCCATAGTTGTAATTCACGAAACCTATATTTATTACAGTCAGGTCTCGCCAAGTGTCGTTTTCAGTAAGTGTCATGACTCACAAAGTGTCATCGTTCAAGACCCAACAAGTGTCACTTTTCCCACTTTTTTTTACCCTCTCCAATGCTAAAAATGGACTTCCCCAAACCGGTTTGCAACATAAACCAATGAAATGGACACTTTTATTAAAGGGGCGTGGCTTAGGCCACTGACACTTACTGAGACAGACGGTCTCAAAAAATTCCCAGTGACGACACTTAGCGAGACCTGACTGTATTTATTAAACCAACATTTATTGTTTATATAGAACGAATTTTATATTTAAAAAATAAAACTGTTCTGTCTTGAAAAAATCAAGTGACTGAATTTACCCTGGAAAATTGTGATTTTTAAATTTGGTATATATATATATATATATATATGTGTGAATTAAAAATAATCTATAAGTAAAACTGAAAAAGATAAATCAAAAACTCTTTTTTATTTTGGTAGTAGAAGTCATAAGCTTTCGAATGATATAAATTAACTTGGATTTGGAGAATAATTTTCTAGATTATTACCTATATGACCAAAAGTGACCGGATTTATCCCAGTCTCCCCTACTAATAATGATGAAACTTAACAATGGTAGGTTGTATCAATAGCTTAGACTTTATGCATGAACTATATGCATGACTTTATGTACTAGCAATGGTAGGTAATTACAATTCATCAGTTAATATACACTAAATAAAATCAGTGGTATACTTATGGCTGATTCAAATTTAGAGAGTACCATTTTTTGAAAACATTTATGATAGGTACTAACAACAGTAGACTAATAGTAGCAGATACTAAAAATGATATAAGCTATCAATTACATTGACCAACAGAATTTTGTTGACTTGAATGATACAGCCGATTTTTATAGGAGCAGTTTAAATTTAATGGTGTCAAAAAAACGCGTTTGTGACATTTTTTGAGTATTAAATCTTTAAGGGGTTATATACAGTCACGATTTTCAAAAAATCGATTTTTTTTGCATTTTCTGGAAGCTGCAACAGAAGTGGAAGACTCACTATATGGTCCTGGAATAGATGATTCAATGTAAGTTTTAAAAAAAATTTTTAACTCAATGTAAACTGTTTGTGAAACTTTAAACTCACTTTTCTCAAAACTATGTCTATGAAGTCGGTGAACACGATTTCTCAAAAATCGCTGAACCGATTTAGCTCTAATTTTCACACAAGCTCAACAACTACTTTCTGCTGTCCTTGATTGAAGGTTTTTTAAATAAAATTAAAATTATAATTTAAATCAACATTTGAAGACAATTTTTTTTTCATGGAAATAAACTTTTTTTTTACTGCCATTTTGTCAAAAAGTGATATTTTTTTAATTCCTTTGATCAGAGACTACATTTTTTCATACACTAACAGAATCTATTTAACTTTTTGATCTCAGATGATTCTATCAATTGTTATCTTGTTCACCGCGGGACACTTTTTTCAGGATCTTTGGGAGATAAGCTACAGAGGCAAAAAAAAATATTTTTACAAATGAAATATTTTTTTTTAAACTTTAAAAGATGTAAAACATTACCGTCAACCGGGGCTATTTTGTGCACCAAATAGCTTTTTTTTTATTCAAAGATTTATTTAAATTCAGAATTAAGAGAATAAAGAAAATCAACTTTTGATATATGTTGTGGACATCCTTCTGAAGCTTTCCTATAAATTTGGCAAAGAAAAAAATTTTTTTGTCTTAGTTATAGTCATTGAAAGTCGTGCACACAATAACTCCCGGGATGGGGCTATTTTGTGCATCGAACTTTGTTTTCCTATAATGTTGCGTAAACATTTTTTTAATCGTTTCTGCTTCATGAAATCTTTTGTGTATATATTTGAGAGTAAGTTAAAAAAAGAATGACCTAGTAAAATTTTTTTGTAGATATATTATACAAAAAATGTAAAATAAAGCACTAAAATTTTGCTAAAATCTGAATTTACTAAAAATTATTAACAATCTTTCTTTAAATTGTTTATTACGCAGATAGTAAATAACATTTTTTTCTTTTTTAATATATATTTTATAATAATATACTAATATAATTATAAAATGATCGTTTAAACACTTATAAATAACTTTAAAACATCATTTCAATAGGAGCTTTTTTAATAGTTTTGAATGATATTTTTAAAAAACTTAAAATAAATATTTTTAAGGTTAAATAGATAACAATTTAATATCTAATATGCTTTTCAAGTTATTTTAAGAGAAACGAGAAAATAGTTTTAAAACTAATTTGAAAAACTTATAAATATTAATTAATGTTCATTTTTTGAAGTTACGTTGTGCACCGGTTGAGCTTTTAATCGTTTTAATGATTTTAATTAACGTATTTACAGTTTTTTGACAGAAAAGTAAGACAAAAATGTATTAAAATGATAAACAGAATCTTCTTTACTTACTAAATAAAACATTTATGAAAAATATTTGATTTTTTTAAGTGCACAAAATAGCCCCATGGAATCCTGGTTTTTCAGTTTTTTCCACTTTTCTCTTAAAATAATGAATAAAAAATTAGCGCATTACGTATGTATCATCACAACACAATTGACAACAAATATCTAACTCAGTTTATGAAACACATTAAAACTCTATAAGATTTGGTATAATTTTTCCGAACTTTCAAAATTTTTTAAACAAATTTTCCGTTTTTAGGAATTTTTTTCTCTTAATTGACAAAGAATTAAATAATAACATTTAGTGCTCTCTATTGTCATGTAATCAAACTTTCATTTTACAAAATAGCAGATTAAAATAATTCATTTTAATAATTTTTTTCATCAAAAAACTCGCGTGCACAAAATAGCCCCCGGATGCACAAAATAGCCCCAGTTGACGGTATAGGAAAACTTTCGCTTTAATAAATAAATATTCCTTTAAAAAAAAAATCCTGAAAAACTGCATTTTTCCGACCGCCTGACTGTATACATATAACCCCTTAAATCTAAACTGCATGAAATAATAATTTCAACATCATATTCAGAGTCTACAGATGACTATACTGTATAAAGTGGCTGACTACTGTCTCAGCAACTGCATATGATAAAAATTGAGCCCGAGCGTAGCTGTTGTTATTGCACGCTCAGGCTCACTAGTTGTTACCAATGGTAGACTCTTACAAATATCATTTCTAATAATGGTAGTTTCTAACAGAAACATAATCTTAATATTTAATAGTTTTGACAATGATAAATAATAACATTGGTAGTATGTTTTAAATTGGCTAATGATGGTACTTAGCAAAAATTTAAACTACTAACAGAGGGTAACATTGGTGACTAACATTGGTGTTTCTAATCTTTGCAGAAGCCGACAGTAGTAGGTGCTAAAAATTGTAGTTACTATCAATGGTAAATATTATTTATTGGTAGTTAGCCTATCTTTACTAGAAGTATTGGTCTTGGAAATAGAAGTTGTTAACAATAATATATGTAAATAATGTAAAAACTTCCAGTTGGCGCAGAAACTAAACATGGATACTACCACAATGATAATTGAAATGTTGACAGTTTCTAACTTGAACAGAAGCTAACATTTATAGTAGTTGCTCAAAATTGCAACTAATTTCAATAGTGCGTGCAAATAATAGTAATTTTTACATTTACCAGAAACCAACAATGATAGTTACTAGCATTAATAGAAACTAACAATAATAAATGTTAACAATGACAGATACTAACAATGATCCTAAATATTAGCAATGACCAATACCAAAAATGATAAATACTAACAAATGACCAATACTAACAATATATACTAAAAAATTCTTGTTGCCATAATGGTAAATTATTATCATTATAAATATTCTTAAATTCATAACGAATGTTAAAAACTCCAAAGAATAGTCTTAATAAATTTATTCAATAATAATCAGCAAACGGTTGCTTTTAACTTCGTCGCAATTGGATTTACTAGTATATTCTAATTTCCTATCTCTATAAATTCTAATTCCAAAATATTCATAAATAAATCAATTTAAAATAAATTATTAAATTTTTTAGGCAGTATCAATTTTACACAAGAAAATTATGCACAGACAAAATAAAGTTTATTAGCAACTATTTTACTCTACACGATTAAATACTACATAATAAAATTCTACACAAGAAAGCAATACACCATCAACCATGCACAAGAAAATTCTAAATATTAATAATAACTGGAATAAAATTAGTTATTATTAATGTTTAGAATTTGTCTACAATTTATTGTGTAGGATTGTATAATGTATTACTTAGTCGTGTAGAGTAAAAAAATTGACAATAAATTTTATATTGTCTATTATTAATATGCAGGATTTTTTAACGTAGAATTATCGGTGCATAATTTTTTAGCGTAGAATTTATTTGTGTAGAATTGATACCGCCCCAATTCTAATTCGAAAATACTCATACATAAATCAATAAATTTATGTATTACAAATTAATAAATTTATTTATAATAAATTATTAATTTTTTTTCCAATAAATTAATAAAGTTGTGTATTAAAAAATTAAAGTTCACTCTCTAAATCTGAATCAGCGAAATTTCACTAATTATTTAGTGAAATTTCACTAATTTACAGTGCATATAAGCTAATTAGAATAGTGGCATACTTATCGCTGATTCAGATTTAGAGAGCAGAAATTTTTCTAGATTAAAATAAAAAAATACCTAATAATGTAACATAATAAATTTTTCTAATAAAATTTATCATTGAGTAAATAAATAAATGAACGCAATTGCTTCATTCACAGATTATAACGAATGAAAAGAAAATTTTGCAATTATAAAACAAAGAAAAAATGATTTAATTTAAGTTTTGTAAAATGTTTTTAAATTTTAAGCACAATTGTGCTATCTATTTACTAAACATGAAAGATAGTAGTAAAGCCAAATAAATTGTGAGAGAGTGAATATTGCTAAGTAGGTAAATGAGCATTTACCTGTCGGAATTGTCGGAAGCCGCCATTGATTCTAAGTGAGTCAGCTGCGATACCGGCAATTCCATCGCCAGGTTCACGAAGTTGCCGCAACGATGCTGCGCTAGGAGCGTTTCCGGCGTGAAGGGGACAACAGCATCCTGAACAACAACAAACATAGGCTTCCGGCTGCGAACTCTGACGGATCATTCGCGCACTTGGTGAAGTCGTTACTAAAACTGGTGGCGGCGGCGCTTGACATGGGCAACAATGATGTCCGCTTTTCACACTTTCCCTGTAAACAATGTAATTAAACCCTTATTATAATTTACCAAGCTATATTATTATACAATACATATTATAACTTAATTACTTTAGAATAACTATATAATTACAACATACATCAAATTAATAATTTTATAACTATCCATCAAAATAAAATCTTTAATAGAAGTTTTTATTCCTTCTTTTATTTTTAGTATTAAACGCTTCATTGTTTCACATATGCGGATATAATTACAAGAAGCTTGCGGATGCTAAATACGTCCAAGTTCGTGTGCAGAGAAAATGTGAATTTCATTTGAATTAATTTGTATGAAATTTTACCGTGTCTCGTCCAGGAAAATTTTATATACTCTACCACTGAAATACAAATTGCAAAGAATGGTAAAACTTTGTATTTTTTAATCCGGAAATTTGTCATTTTTCTCCATATTACACCAGAAACATAAAGCAAAGATCAGGCCTCTTTTTGTTTTACAAGTTTATTGTATAAATTTCATCTTCCCTTCTCTAGAAATATTTCACCTTTTTGTAAGCCAGTACATTATCAATAAATAATTAAACAAAAAACACCCAAGTAGCACGTAATATTACAGTGATTTTAAAATGTCCACCTTATGTACGGAGAAAAATGATGTTACTATTATATGGATAGCTAATTTTTAGATGTGATAGCTAACAATAATTGCTATCCATATAATAGCGAAATTAAGTTAGCTGAGGCAGCTAAAGATAAAATTAGATATGCATTTTAGAGCCAATTTTATTGACTTTACACACCCGTGCAAAATCAATTGATGGGTAACTAGTATGGACGCAAAATGTTCAATAAGGGGTCAAAAGAAGCGTCTGAAAAAAGTAAAATCAATTAAAAACATTCATAGAGGAGACCTAACATTTTTTAAAAAAATTATAGGCAGAAAGCGGTTGTTTCATATTTTTAAAATCCAACACATGCGGGATAACATTTTTTAAAAATATGATTTTTGAACTCCTGAGGTGATAAAATATAAAGGTATGACAAAAAATCGAGATTGAAAAATTTCAGTAAAACAATGTTCCATGACGAAGCAATAAATAAATTATCTTGAATTTTATAATAAATAATATATAATCTACATAATAGTAATAAATATTTTTATTATTATTATCATCATTGCTGTTATTATTATTATTACTATAATTGTATAAGATTTATCGATTTATTATCAAGAGAATAGGGAAAAGGGAATGTCATATTTAATAATGATCTTTGCGTTACATCTGCAAAGTGGTCTGACCAATGAGGGTTTTTTCTACTGTATTTCATTTATGCTTTCAATCGCACTGTTCCATTGCACTATAATGCTGCCGGACAAACACCAAAAGAAAAAAATAACCAAAAATACAGTTTTTATTTTAAGTTTTCTGCACAAACAAAAGAGTTTTTTTCAAATTTTCTCTTTCATGTTGTAATATTTATTTAAAAATTTAATATAATCTTAAGGGGTTACACCACTTTGAAATTTTCAAAAAATCGAAAAAAAAAATTTTCTTGCTTAAAGTACTCTTTATGGACACCAAAATAATGTCATTAGTTATATATCGATATCTCAAGTAAAAAGACAATTTTAGAACTGTTCAAGCAGAATTGCGCGCTAGCGTTTATGTTGTAATGAAAACTTTAAACGCATTTTTCTGTATTTTAAAAATCGGTGGACACTCTAGCTGCAACAATTTTCAATCGATTCTCTTAATTCTTTTTTTATTTTGTTTGTAATATAATTATCTAGCGAAATACGTACGGATTTTACGATATATTAATATTTAAATTTTCTAGACAACTATAAGTAACGAAATTTAGTCAAAAATACGCACATTTTCCTTCAAATCGATGCCATTTTGCGAAAAATGCATTTTTTAAAACGGTTACGTATTTCGCTAGATTTTGAGCTGCAGAAACTAATGATTTTTTATTTTTTGGTCTAGGTCAAATCTGGACCGAGTTATAGTGTCACCGCACTCCGTCATATCATCCGTCAGACCTATTGCTACTTTTATAAATAAGGCTCCGGATCTTAAAAGGGCACTTTTACTATTTAAAATCAATGCTGAAAGTGCCCTTTTAAGATGCGGAGCATCAAATAAGTATATATATAAATTAACGAATGGCCAAGAAACATAATTATAACTTTTAAAATTTTCTTGCTATTATTGTTTTAAAAGACAATGACACATTGTTCCACAAGCAAAAAGCTGCTTTAAAAAATAAATGTTGACACTTTATGCAATAGAGATTTGAGGTTACACTGGGGTCAAAAAGTTTCAGTACATTTGTACTGATTACTGTTAAGTGCTCGCTTCACTTAAAATTCAAATATTTCTGTAAAAATAGATGTAAGAGCTATCAAAGTAGGATCATTTTAAAGTTCAATAAATTTAGAGTCAAATAGGATAAAATATAACCAATTTAGTAGTGTAAATATTAAAAATATAATTCTTTAAAGTTAGACATTTTTTGTGAAAATTGCGATTTTGAAATCTGAAATTCAAGCCTACGCCAATTGAAGAAAAATTTTTTTTAAGTTTTGATAGTTGCACAATAAAAAGTACAAATTTAATTCTTTAATTTTAGACCAAAATCATTCACATATATTAAGTATTTTCTTCAAATTCTATAAAAATAATATCTCTTGCTCTAAATTTTTCGAAGAATATAAATTGCAAATTCGTCGTTTTCATTCACTTGTTCTATCAAATAACAACACTTTTGAAAAATATTGAACCTCTTCATCTTAGAAAATTTAAGATATTTACATGAAATTTATCCCTCTTCTTATTATATTATATTTTTCAAAAGTGTGGTTAATTGATAAAACAAGTGAACGGAAACGACGAATTTGCAATTAATATTCTTTGAAAAATTTCGAGAGCAAGGGAAGTTATTTTTATAGAATTTGAAAAAAATACTTAATATATGTGAATTATTTTGGTCTAGAATTAAAGAATGGAATTTATACTTGATATTGTGCAACTATCAAATCTTAAAAAATTTTTTCTTCAATTGGCGTGCGCTTAAATTCTAGATTTCAAAATCGCAATTTTCACAAAAAATCTGTAACTTTAAAGAATTATATTTTTAATATTTACACTATTAAATTGGTTATATCTTAGCCTATTTGACTCTAAATTTATTGAACTTTAAAATGATCCTAGTTTGATAGCTCTAACATCTATTTTTACAGAAATATTTGAATTTGAAGTGAAGCGAGCATTTAAAAGTAATCAGTACAAAATGTACTGAAACTTTTTGACCCCAGTGTATGTTGCTAGAAGATGTCGGCGAGATAAACTCTTTATAAATAATATGTTAGAATTTTTACATTTTATTTAATATTTAAAAAAGTTTTTGTCAATTTGCAAATGTGAATTCAGAATTTTTAAAAATAATATTTATGTGTACCAACTTTTAAAAACTAAGAATTAATTTGAATAAAATTTATTACTGTATGAATGAGTATAAAAATAAAGAAAATAATGTAGAGCAGAATATAAAGTAGACAACAATTGAAAGATAAAGTTAGAAAAAGTTTTTAATTTATATTTACCTAAGGAAGTGGTCTATTATGTTTTCACTTTTTCCTTTTTTTCATAATTTTTAAATATTCGTTTAAACTTAAAATGTTTATATTAAATTCCATTTTTTATTTTTTTTCTGAAGCTTTTAAAAAGACGTTTTACAAGGAGAAGTATGAATTATGAAGTTTCATTCTGTCAGGTGTATTTACTGGTAAAGAACGTCTGACTAAAATGAGTTTGTTCCACTTGAGACACGTTTCTTTAAAAACAACATTTTACAACCCAAAAATTCGCAATAATATGGAATTTTCTCGTCAAAATAATAAAAATATGATAATATTTTAATATTACACATGTAATAAAATAATAATAATAAATAAACATAATACAGATTATATATAAAACCTTTAATATAATTTAATACAATATTCACTGATTTCTATTAATAACGTGATATATATTTCTGTAACCCCCAAAATTAAAACTGAAATAAGTAAACAGGAAAATAATAATACAATAAAAAATAGGTTTAAAATAAGTTTAAAAAAATATTTAATCAAATTGTTTTAAAAATTACTTTATAATTTGGTGATGTAGGACAGAAATTTATGAAACAGACTTTAAAACAGAAATTGAAATTTAATTTTTAATAGAATAAAAAAATTGTTTGAAATTTCGAAAACTTTTTGAAGGTGGAGTGACACCTTAAATGACAAAGTTAGTGAATGACGCATTAGTAAATGACGAACTGAAAACACTTTGGCAGGCTGTCCACCGATTTGACAACGTAATTTCGAGAAAAACGCATTTAAACTTTTGTAATGTGAAAACATGAAAAATGAAACCACTGTTAATCTACGATGCCTGCACCATATAAGTAACTTTCTACATTACAATATTTCCTTCATTTCCATTCTTTCGAGCAATTTGAAGCTGGCTTTAGTAATAATTTGAGCTGTATTAATTTGAGCTGCTACGATAAAAAAAAATATCCGATTGCGCAAAAAAGCACTCGAAGCGCTTTTGGACACTTACAGATTTCGATTTTTTTCCCATAAAATAACTTCGAAATTACTTCTCATGATATAATTTCTATTCTACACACCATAAAGTATCGTTTAAGCTAGAGCTGTGCAAAATAATTTGAACCGAACTGTTCGAATTTTTTCGCCTAGTTCGAATGTCGAATTTTCGACATTCGACATTTCGGCGCCCCAAAACCGAACAAAACTCGGTTCGGTTCGAATTTTGAGCAGCTCTAGTTTAACCCGTTGACTGTCGCTGACGCATATATGCGCAAAACTAAACTGGCCAAAAGTGATTCATGACGCATATATGCGCAACTTAAAAAAGGTGATTAAAAACTTCTTAAATGTTCCTGAAACCGGTTACTCGGGGGTTTTCGAGGTCGCTGATTACGAATCTGACATCAGTTTTTCGAAATTCAAAATGGCG